CAGTGGCAGTGAGTTTCTGCCTAGGCTTGTAACTAACTGTTGTTGTTGTTGTTGTTGTTATGTGCCATTGAGTTGGCCCCGACTCATAGTGACCCCTCCTTGTGTTTCCAAGGCAGTATCACTACAGAAGTAGATTGCCCAACCTTCCTTCTGAGGAGTGGTTGATGGGTTCAAATGCCAGCCTTCTGGTTAGCAGTCTAGTGCCTTAGGTGCTATGGTACCAGAGCTCCTCGTAACTGTAGGTTTTGTCATTTTCTGATTATCCACTAAGGCTTTTGCATCAGCTAAAGTTGTTCCAAGGAACCATTGATGGTGCAGTGGTTAAAGCACTTGGCCGCTAACCAAAAGGTTAGCAATTCAAACCAGGCAGCCACTCTGTGGGAGAAAAATACGGCAGTCTGCTTCCTTAAAGATGTACTATAGGGCAGTTCTCCTCTGTCCTAGAGGAGCACTGAGTCAGAATTCACTCGAGGGCAGTGGGTTTGGATTTTTGGTTTTGCGACAGTTGTTGTATTTTCCTCACTTCTAAATCCATTGGAAATCTAAGTTGAAAATCCCAGTGGGATTTCCTAGTTGGAAATCAAAGAGTAAGAAATAAAGGAATTTGCATCTATAATATTTCTCACCTACTTTATTGATTTGAGAATAAGAATACTTATTGTAGCATTTTAAAACCAGAATCCTTACCTATGGAATCTTCAACTTAAGCATTTTTTAATATTATGATACAGGTTTTATTTTTTATTTAATATATTTAATAGAAGTAATAAATAAGATCAACTTTTATCTTTTTATCAATTTGATATTTCACACTTATTTAAACATAAAATGAACTATGTATGACACTCAGAGATCTAGGAGATTATATTAAAGTTTAGCTATTGGATTCAAGGATTAATCAAGGATTTTAGTTAATTGAATTTTTAATCGTAACTGTCATGGTGGTCATTTTTAACCAGAGAAAATTCTCTTTAGAATATTCAACCTCTTTCATGGTTTCTGATGTTCTACCATTTTAATGGTAAAAATCCTTGGGTGAACCAGTTCTGTTTCCCAGGATGTAAGCCATTCTCCTTGGTGGGAAACGCCATCATCACATCAGCCTGTTTGTGCAAGGACTGAATCAGAGTGATGGACTGAAAATACCTTTAACGGTTTCATCCTCTGATTTATCCTTAGTTGCATCCCGAGATGCATTCCTGTAAGTGCATTCCTACGTCGCATTTGAATGAATAGTCAGAGCTCAGCACTTTGTGGACACGGGTAATCTTCGTCACCTCTACCTAACCTCTGGCCTCGCCATTTTCCCATTTACTGTTGGGATGAATAAATAGAGAGCAAAGAGGACTTTCAAAGATCCTCTGGTAGATAGATGGAATGAGGCAACTGTCCAAAGGGAGGGATGCAGACGTGGGAATTAGAAGCAGATCGCAGACCTGCTGTGTTGTCGGGGGAGTAGCAAGTCTTTTAACTGTACTCTCCTTCAGCTTCGCCATCTGCAAAATGTCAAAGACAGCTCCACATTATCTAAGTGTAAAGCAGTGAGAATGTCAGTACGAAGCACTCGAAGTTCCCAAAGGACAGGACTAACACTTGATGCAAACAAGTCCAATACCTGCCATGATAGTTCATAGTTCTCAAGAACCATCTACAAGTTTCCAGAGGATTTTATTTGACACGAGGAAATACAAACCAATGTTAATTAAAAATTATTTAATGCATTTAATAGACATGAGTAAGTTCAACTTTGAAAAATATGGTTGCCCCTGGGTGGTAGGCGCACAAGAGGTGGGATTACTTGTGGGTTGTTGTTTTTTTTCTTCATATATTTTTGTTTCTCAGATTTTCCACTATAATCATATATTAATTCTTTTTTTTTTTTTTTCTGGGAATTTAGACAGCAAGGGGAAATACATTTTTTGTTTATACTTCTTGCAAGCAAATATTCTTGATGCCAATGGATAATAAAGAAATTAGTCTAAACATCATTAAGTAAATCTTGAACAATGCAAAAGATCAGACCAAAATAAGCCATTTTGGAGACCACCAAAATAAATTGCAGTACAGGTCACAAGTCTGTTATTTATGCAAAAAGCAAAAATCAGAACTCCACACAGAAATCAGACTTGGGAAAAAAAAAAAAAAAAAAAAA